GGGGGCGGCCCGGGGCGGGGGCGGAGGGGGACCGGCCACCGCGCTCACACGTGCTCCTTATCGAACTCGCACAGGAAGTGCATGGTGACATGGCAGGCCACGTCGTTCCAGCCGCCCGAGGCCACCATCTCCACACAGTCCTCCTCGTCATAGGCGTTGTTAGGCTCGCCGCTGCGCCACTTGTTGAACGTCTGCATGGGCGAGCGGTCCGAGTACACGAACGTGCCCTCCCTCTCCAGGTCGTTGATGCCGATGAAGACGCGGGCCAGGCCGGCCTGCGCGATGTAGGCGGCCATCAGGCCGTTGGCGGCCTCGTCCTTGGGCATGCCCAGCGTGCCCCCGCGGCCCTGGCAGGACAGCTGCGCGTCCACGTACCTCTTCTCCTCCTTCACCAGCAGGTAGATCTTACTGTCCGTCTCGCGCACGCCGGCGACAGCTGCGGGGGAGGGCAGTGCTGGAAAGTGAGCACTCGCATTTCTGTAAACACGCTCGGTGCGCAGCACACGCGAGTCCCACTGCCTGTGGGCGCGGGCGGGACCTGCCGGCCCGGCCCCTCGGTCTCGGGGTTGTGGGGGAGGGGGAACAGGGAGACGCGGAGAGCATACCATTTTTTATGAATTTTAGTTCGGTCGTCAGCTGCGTGACCTGGTTGTCCATCTCGCCGATGGCCTTCCTCAGCTGGCCGCACTCACACGGGATGCCTGCGGAGACCCGCCCCCCCGTGTTAGATGCAACTGGGGGCCGGCTCAGGAAAGCAGCCCCCCACCCAGACAGAAGGCTTCTTCGGCCAGCAGACCCCATGGGCCTTCGAGGCCGGGACGCAGATTCTGGGCTTCATCCCGAAGGCAAGGAGAAGCAGCCCAGGGACATCAACGGGGTAGCACCAGGACTGACCGTTTTGAGACAGGGCTCTGGGTGGGTGGGAAGAGGGGAGGATGGGGGAGACGGGGCTGGGGGGTAGAGTCGTGGCAGCAGCTCAGGGGACAAGGGGCTTGGGGCAGGGACATGCAGATGCAGAGAAACCAGCACGTCTGAGGACAGCGGGGCCCCAGGGCCTGAGGGTCTCTCACGCAGCACAGACAGCCCTGCCACCTCTGGTCGGGGGTCCTGGGCTTTCCGGGGCCCCTGAGCTGCTGCCATGAGGAGCTCCACTTGTCTTCACCCCGCTCCCCGTCCCCAGCCTGGGGGACCCGGCCACTGCCAGCCCCTTGCCTTCCCCAGGACTGGAGCATGTCCGTCCTGCACTGGCCCTACCACAGCCCGCAGGCAGGACCTCCCCTTTCCCTGCAAAGCCCACGGTGCTGAGCGCAGCCGCACTTCCAGACAGAGCATCCCCCGTAGGAAATGGGGCCCGTCTTCCAGAACCTCACCCTCCTCCACCACCAGAGTCCGGAACACGCTCACGTCCACGCGCAGGTCCGGTCCACGCTTGGTGGCTCATTGACACTCCGGGCCCGGGCATGTTTCTGCGGCAGCCCGTCTGAGACCAGAGCCGCGCCCACGCCCTCCGGGGCTGCCCTGCTTTCCCGATTATTCTCTGCGGTGACAAGCAGGAAGCTGGTTCCTCCGTGTCCTTCAAATTGTCCCGTGGCCTCCAGGCCGGCCCCACACCGCTCCACGTCTTCCTCCCTGCGGGACCGGCCGCATCCAGAGGTGGCCATGAGAGGCACTGCCATCCCTTCCGTGACCTCATGTGGCCAAATCCATGCCCACCGGCCATTCCTCCTCCTCCTCCGCGCAGCGCTGACGGAGCCCTCCAGACAAGGGCTTTTACTCAGACATCTCTTTCTTCGCCAGTTTCCAAGCTCCGAGCTTGCTCGGGGCTACTCTCTGAATGTCACCATCAGGATGAATGACAGCAAATGGAGACACGGTTTGTGTGAGACACGGAAAGACGGGCTGATTCAACAAGCAGATGCCAGCACGTGCCCACACACAGCGGTCTGGAGGGGGCGGTCAGACCCAGCCACTGGGAAGCCCTTTCGGCTCCAGGATGCCCCCACCGGGTCCCCCAGGGCCTGACGGCAAGCTCACAGAGAGGTCACAAGAGCCTGAACGAGGTGCTGGTGCATGGACGGGACACAGGACAGCTGTGCAGACGGCCTGGGACTGTGAAGGACGGCAGGGACAGCGTGGAACAGTGTGGAATAATGTGTGTAGCATGGGACAGAGGACAGTCATGGGCGGGAAATGGCCAGCAGCATGCAGAGGACAACAGCCACATGGGAAACGCCACATGAGTGAGGGTGGCCGGACCCACGTGAACAGCAGGACACGGTGGACATGCACCATTCAAGCGGACAGACAAGTCCAGACAGGAGGGACCACCAACGGGGCATGTGGCTGCGGGAGCCGCGCGGAGGACAGGCAGCAGACGAGCTCCACGGAGAGAGGGCTGCGGCCGCAGGACAGCAGGCAGAGAGGCCCCTGTCATCGGCACCAGGAAGCTGGACACGTCCCCTGAGCAGCCAGGGTCCCGGGCGACCTTCTCAGGCTTCAGAGGAGGCTGAAGGGAGCTCCGGAATGAGAAAGCACAGGCGCGCCTCCCGAGGAGCGCGTGGTCACAGGAAGGGGGAAGCTCTTAGAAGTGAGGAACGCGCACTTGGGGACGGGGGTATCTGAGCCGACCCGTGTGGTCGGTGAGCACTGCGGTCCCAAGAAGGACGTGAAAATACTCAGGTAGAAGGGAGTCGAATACTGAAATAGTCTAGGAGAGGCTATGACAGACAAGGATGCCAGCCACGGGTACTCCGTTTCCCGGACCACAGGGGTTTCATTGCATGATTCGCACTTCCGTGCCGAGTGCAATTTTCCCCACATCTTGGTTACTGTAACCAGCGCTGCTGTGAACACGGGGGTGCAGACATCCAGCTGAGATAGTGTTGTCTCCTCTGGATACACTCCCAGAAGTGGGATCGCTGGAAAACACGTTAGCTCTATTTTTACCGTCTGGAGGACCTCCGTGCTATCTCCCAGAGTGGCCACACCAGGCTGCACTCCCACAGACAGTGCACGACGGTCCCCTTTCTCCACCTCCTCGCCAGCACCTGCTAGCTCTTGTCTTTTGGTCGCAGCCGTTCCGACAGGTGTGAGGTGACAGCTCGTTGTGGTGTTGGTTCGTGATGACTAGAGATCCTGCGTGTCCTTTCATGTACCTGTCGACCTTGCACGCATCTTCCTGAGAAAAATGTCCGTCCAGCTGCCTTGCCCGTTTCTAAGTGGCTCTTTTGCCACTTAGTGGCATTGGATGAGCTCCTTGCAGGTTTTGGATCGGCTCATCATCAAATGTACGGTTTGCTGATAGTTTTTCACTTGGTTGGTGGTTTCCTTTGCTTTGCAGAAGCTTTTGAGTTTGATGTGGTTGCACTTGCTTACTTTTCCTTTTGTTGCCTTTGCTCTGCGCGTCACACCCAAAAACTCGCGGCCAAGATCCGCATCCGGAAGCTTCCTTCCTGTTTGCTTACCGGAGTTTCATGGGCCTCAGGTCCTACATTTAAGTCTCCGGTCCATTTCTAGTTAGTCTTTGTGAACACTGTAAGACAGGGGACTAGTTTCATTCTTTTCTACGTACTGGCCTGTTTTCCCAAGAGACCATCCTCTCTCCATTGGGTGTTCACGGCTCCCTTATTAAATGTTAGTCGCCCATATGTGCCTGGGTTTGTTTCCGGGCTCTCGGTTCTGCCCCATTGGTCTGTGGGACTGTTTTCATGCCAGTGTCACACTGGCCGGATTCCTGTCGTTTCATGGCACAGCTTGAAATCACAGCATGTGATGCCTCCTGCTTGGTTCTCCGACATTATAAGCCCCGTAAGAAATGGGAGCCCTTCAAGACTATTTCCGAGAGGAACCAAAACCAGCCAGCCACCCTACGTGTCCATCCGCGGAGGAGGGTTCATGAGCTGTGACGTGTATACATGGAGTAATACTCAGCTGCAAACAATTAGGAAACCCTGTCATTTGTTTTAAGATTTTATTTATTCGAGAGAGAGACAGAGAGAGAGCACAAGAAAATGAGAGGGAACATGAGAGAGAGCACAAGCAGGGGGAGAGGCAGAGGGAGAGGGAGAAGCAGGCTCCCCGTTGAGCAGAGAGCCCGATGCGGGACTTGATTCCAGATCCTGGGATCATGACCTGAGCTGAAGGCAGACGCTCAACCGACTGAGCCCCCAGGCGCCCCAGGGAATCCTGTCATTTGTGACAACAAGGATGGACCCTGAAGGCATTACTGCTGGGAAGCAAGTCAGGCAGAGAAGGACCAACCCTGCAGGCTCTCCCTTCCACGTGTGGGGGGAGGGAGCAGGAGGAAGGGGGCCAGCAGGTGCAGACGCCCACCAGGGATGCGATGTGCGTGATGAGGACCATGGCCCTTCATGGGACACACGGGGGAGCTGGTAAGAGAGCAAGTCCTTGGAGTTCTCATCCCAGGGATAATTTTTTTTTCCCTTTTCTTTCTTTTCTTGTTATTATGTCTCTATGAGAAGACGGATATTAGCTGAAGCGATGGTGGCGATCGTGTCACAGTATCTGTAAATCAAACCCCTGTCCTGTAACCCTTAAACCTTTATAGCAACATATGTTAATTATCTCTCAATTAAACAGGGGGGAGTGCAAATTTTAATGCATGTTTTAAAGCCCAGCAGCCCATGTGCCATACCTGGTTCTCCATTAGGGCCAGGGGGTCCCATGTCACCAGAATCTCCTTTTTCACCTGAAAAAGGAGAGCAAGGTCAAGCAAAGGTGGGCCACGTCCCTTGAGGTTAAAATTGACAAAGTTCGCAATGTTATTTCTTCCATGTGTGATGCACTAGTGTTTCCCGCAGACCCTGTCTTTGCCGTGAACACAGGGAGTTGTGTTCTAAGGTAATTAACTCAGGCTCTGTCAATGTGACATAGAACATATGCCTATCTCAAGATCTGAGAAATGACCCAACAACCCTTCTTTAAGTCGAGTCCAAAAAATCCCGGGTGTGTCATAGAACAGTCTGTAGATACCATGTCATGAACCCCTGGGTCAGTAACAACTAAATCTGATTCCAATTCTCACCCACCTGGCGGCCGGGAGACAGTGATGCTGGCACCTGGCCGGACCTGGGGACAGTCTTCCCCCAGTGCAGCACGTGGGCTCCCGCCTGGCCTGAGACGCGGCATCCCACAGAGGACACGCCACACAACCCACCCCCCCAGCCTCCCAGCGTATAAAGCCAAGGGGTTGGACACAAGCGTGCCAACAATGCTTTCTGGCTGCTCTAAAATTAGACAAGTCTATTAAAGGCACATGAATATTCCCTCAGCGTGCTCTCTCCTCCCCAAGACAACCTGAACATCCTAGTCTCATGGGAGGGGGGAGGAGCAGCGCCCCCTCCTTCTGTGGATTCCATGCATCCTGTCCACGTGGGGAGCAGGGGAGCCTGCCAGCCCCGTCTGCAGCATCCCTGGGACTCCCTCGTCAGCCCCGGGGCTTGGAGAGGTCTGCAAGGTCAGCCCGACGAGGCCCGGGAAGCAGATCAGGTAAAGTAAGCTAACGAAGGGCTTGTCGGCACACGGCCCCTCGGTGAGACACTGGCGTTGCCCGGAGCACACGTAGTACATGGAAGGCACACGCGTCCCTATTCGGAGGCCAAAGAGGGCAACAACCCATTCTCTCTCAATAGAGAGAGATGCCATGATCGAGCCCTAAGAAGGAAGGAGATGATCTCTGGACACGTGCCGCTGAGTGAGTAAGTCAGACACCCGTGAGGGCCTCGAACACACCGACTCGCGGACTAGAATTAGAGGAGGGGGGACCACGGCCAAGGGAGGGACCAGAGACCCCGCCTCACCAGGACACGGCTCCTCTCTGGGGGTGAGAAGGTTGAGCAGCTGCTCAACACACAAAGGTGTTTACTGCCACGGACTTGCACACTCGAAAACAGCTAATATGGCCAGTTTCACGTTACGACGATTTTACCACCATCTCTCAAAGCCTTTGGGAAGCACAGCAGCCCCTCTTCCTGCCGCGCACACCGACATGCTCCGGAGCGAGCGGGCAGGCCAGGCCAGCAGGTGCTCCCCCCAGGGTTCCCCAGACAGACGCTGGGCTGGCTGGTCTCCGACACCCTCCTGCCGAGGACCCCCTCCTGCCAGGGACGAGCTGCGGCCGGGGGGCGGTGCCTGGGCACCGTCAGAACCGACCACCTGAACCCACTCACAGCTCAACTCCCCGGCAGGTTAATGAGACAGAAGGACTCCAGCACCAGGCTTGGGCAGATCACCCTGAGCCCCCTCCCTGCTGCACGGGCTCAGCCATGTTCCCAACCACCAGCCCTCCCTGGCCTTGCACCCCTCCTTAGCACCAAGGGGGAGGTGAGGAGACCTCCACAAGATCGCTCTCTGAAAGTTCGGGGCCCGGGGGCTCGGCAGAGGCGCAGGACGCCCCAGGGGCTCCAAGAGTGTTTGCTGACTGGGTGGCTCGGAGCCTTCCTTATCTGCCTGGGCCTCAGTCTCCTGGCCTGTCCCCGCTGCAGGGTCATGTGGTCAGACGAGGTCGCCAGATAGCCACAGACGAGGGCAAGTGTCTTGTCCCTAAATGGCTGCTCTCACCTGGCTGTTGCCTCCTGGGTCCCATTCTCATGGAACCCTCCCCCCCGCCCCCCGGTTTCAAAAAGTCACTGAAGCTGGAGGTGGACAGTGCTTCTGGAGCACAGCCCTCCTGTTACTCAGATGGGGCTCAGTGCTTCCTTAAACTGGTTACGGACGTGGCAGTGAAAGGTCTTGTCTGAGTAGCCGCCCCCAGTTCTCCGCCAGGGTGCCCCGTGAATCCGCAGGTCGGGGTGCGCTCACCCCACCCTGGTGGGCACCCAGCCAGCAGGCAACTCTGAGCGGCCCCAGAGGCAGACCCTGGGACCGCAGGTATCATGTGTAGAGCACACAGAAAGAAGCAACTGGCCAGTCTGCAAGCGTTCTCCAGCGCCTGCCCCGGGAGCCCAGGAGGGAATATGGGGACGAGGGGTGCGTCGCAAATACCTTTAGAACCAATGGGACCAATTTTTCCATGGCGACCCACACTGCCCTTCTGTCCTTTGTCACCCATGTCTCCTGCAGAAAACAACAAGATCAAAATTGGTTGGTGCACAGGTAATTCAGCCTACCTCCCGTTTAACATGACCCACACGCACACGCACACACGCACGTGCACACACGAGAGGAGATGGAACGGGTACAGCTCTCATCTTTATGTGACTGACCCCAGAAGGCTCTTCACAGGTCACTTGTTGACAGATTTCCCAGAGGAGGACACACCTCCCCGAAAAGCCATGTGCACTGCGGAACCGAGGAGACCACCGGTGGGTCCCCATCCCGACCTCAGCCCAGGCCCCTCCTGCTCTGCACTCACATCGGTAGAGAGATGTGCTCCGTCCCAGCCACAGCCCACGTCGAGCAGCCACGCTCCATCAAGGGCATGCGGGCTGCTCTCGGGAGCTGGGAGGCCGGCCAGCAGGGGTGTACAGTGACCACCGAGGCCCCTTTCCTGGGAGAGGGGGAGCCTCACTCACACAGGAAGCTGGGGGGAGGGCGGGAAGGAGGGTCCGGGGACGCTCCGTCACACGCTTCTGAGGGGTCTAGTCCTCCAGCAGGGCCTGGCCACACAGCCCCATCGTTCTCTTCGTGCAGCTTGGAGGGTCACCCGCCCCTGCAGCTCCCTCACTCTGCCTCTCCCACGCTGCCCATCCCTGCAGGCCAGCCTGGTGACCATCCTCACGCCGTGACCCCACAGGACCCTCCTCACTGACCAGCGTGCTGAGACCCCGGACGGCGGTCCTCACCCGTTCACAGTAGGGGTCATGCGGGCGAAGGGCGTGTCCTCCCCCAGGTGCTCTCAAACTCTCGGCCCCATCCCTGCTGGTCTGCTGCTGACCCCAGACCGCAAAGCCAGCCGGCAAACAGCAAACACACACAGAACACTTAGTAAAAGAAACACGCAGTCAGACTTCATTTAATACTGAAACTAAGGGAAACAGCACAAGCTCCTCCGCAGGGGGAGGGGACGGGAAGGACTTAGTGTTGCGTACAGATAAGGCTTTGTCCTGCTCTGACGCCAACTCACACCTTAAACCTGAGGACTTCCCAGCCAGGAACTCGTAGCTTTGCAGACAGACAGAGGTCAGAGGACAGAACACAGGCCTCAGGACGAGCCTGGCTGACATGGAAACGCATCCCCGTGACACAGAAGTGGCTGACATTCACACACACTTATTTATGAAGCACCCTCATGCCCACGCTCCTGCGGGGTCACAGAAGCGATCCCTGCACAGACAAGGCCCCGAGGGCCTGGGAGGCTGGTCTGGGCCACACGGCCAGTGTACAGCAGGACTGAGACAGAGCTGCCACTGCAGATCTGAGAGCCAGCGCCCCCTTCCTGCACCACTGTTGGCGGGGGACCCCAGGGAGGCCGAGGCCAGGCTGGCCCAGCCGTGACAGAGACTACTCAGGCCACAGATCCTGTGGACTGTGAGCTCCGTGTGGTGCAGCAGGACCTAGACCAGCGGGAGACGGGGAGCGGTCAGACACCTATAACAGGTGTGCTGTGGCAGGAGAGGGGCTGTGAGGCAGCCCTGGCAAGTGAGGGGGTGGGGAAGGTGCCCCGAGGGACACAGACCTCCAGGTGGGGAGCTAGAAGAGAGTGACAAGAGGATCCATGGTTGATGCGCATCTGGTGACATGCAGAAGGGCTGGGAGGGGGTGAGGACACCCGGTCAGGGAACAGGTGAGAGCCGAAGACAGGTGCCCAGGAGCAGGGTCGGGGGGCAGGGAGGGCGGTGGGAGAAGTGCCACATCTGGGAAGAGGTCAGGAACAGGTGACAGTGGGGAGGCCCCTGGGCAGGCAGGGATGGGAGAGAGAAGCGGGAAGCAGGCTGTTCCTGTGGGGACCCCCACAGCAGGGATGTCTGGCTGGGCCCACAGCGGCCTTCTCTGCGAAGGCCTCAGACCAGCAGTGAGTGGTAGCGGTGAGGTCGCCCCGCAGGAGGGGCAGGCCCGGACGACCCTGCGGAGCGGTGGAGGAGGGGTGCCCACAGGGTCGGAGCTGTGCAGTGAGACAGGGACAAGCGTGAGGCCCTGGCCGGAGCGGGGTCAGCGGATGAACACTGCAGAGAAGCCTTGGGATGAGGCCAGGCACAGACCTCTGGCTACGAGCTCACCGGGACCCTGGGGCCAGGAGTGGGGGGGCTCCCCGTGGGGCAGAGTTAGCAACGGGGCCACAAGCAAGGAGCAGCAGGGTGTGAAGGTGGTGCTCCCTAGTGGGAGGCAGCCCTTCAACGCCCCCATCCCTGTGTGGGGCCGGGGTCCGTGGAGGACAGCGCCGAGAACTGGCTCTGCGCTCCTCGGTCTCCATCCATGCCCACCAGAGCCAGTCCTGCCCCTCCCGCCCCTGTGGCCAGAGGACCCTGGGTCACTGCTGACCTGCTCCAGTCTCCTGACCGGCTCTTCCCCCCACCAGGGTCCCCGGAACAGGCTCACCCCCAGTGAACCTACTGCTGGGCCCCTAGAGCAGCCAGCAGGGAAGGGAACGAGAGCAAACCACGTTCAATCACCCCGAGCCCAGCACTCAGCCCGTCACACACTCGCCCCTGGCAACCCTGCTCCCGACAGGGGTGCGGTCACCGCTGAGCCGGCTTGTGGGAAACATGCCCCAAGTTCAGTGTCACGGGGAGAGGCTGCCTCCTCTCTGAGGCAGCAAGGAAGGGGCCTTACTTCACGCTGAAGCAGGAGCAGGTGCTCAGGCCGCCACCACGCCCCCCGCCATCTGGAAACCACAGTCTGGAACGCCTCTGGGGCCCCTTCTTCACAGCCTGTCCCAAGACTGACCCAGGGATTAGAATGTGGCTCTGCCCCATGCGCCCCACGGCTCTCATGCCACATGCTAGAGAGACACCGCGCTGGTCTACTCCATCTCCACGACTCGGCCCTGCAGACGCGCAAGCACTGTTCTCTCCAGAACCACCCCTCCAGCTTGCCCGCCCCACTGCCTCTTCCTCTGGGCTCAGTCTGTGCTGTCTGCTCCTCCGAGGAGCGACCCCTGCCCAGGCTGAGTGCCCCTGCATGGCCTGCCCACCATCACCTCCCGCAGGGGACTGAAGCGTGTTCTCCCCGCCCAGGGCTGAAGCCTGGCCCCCCGTGATGGGGGCTGCCGGTGGGCCTTGGCAGGTGAGCGGGGTTCGATGAGGTCATGGGGAGGGGGCAGGCTGCCCAGCATGGGACTGTTGCCCTTGCAGTCAGGAGGGACGCCAGAGCTCGCTGTCTCTCTCCAGCATGGGAGAAGACGGCCGTCTGCTGCCCAGGACAACCTCCTCGGCGGAGCCTGACCAGGCCGGCGCCCGGATCTCGGAGGTGCAGCCGCCACCACAGTGACAAGCACAGGTCTGCTGTCGCAGTGGCCCGGCGTGTGGTATCTGCCCCCGCAGCCCGGCCGGCCACGTCCCCGCCCTCGTCCCGACGCTCGTGCCCACTGATGAGGTCAGAATCCCGGAGCTGACCACAGCGTTTCTGCTCAGCCGCTGGTGAAGAGCATTCTGCAGAAAATCAGGGTTCCCTGGGACGCGTACACACCCTGTGTGCCCGCCACGGGGGCAGCCTCCCTTCCCCAGCCTGCTTCCAAACGGCTGAGCTCTCTGTCCCTAACTGGAGTGCACCCCCTTCCTGGCGTCCAGAACGGACCACAAGCACAGGAAAAGTCGGTTGGAGCTGCAGGATAAATATCAGAAGGACCTCATGTTTAAGCTTTCCTAACTTTCGTGTCTCCCCAAACGTGAGGTCGCTCTGCTGTTGTCACTCAGCGGCCAGCAGCGGTCAGCTGTGACCTTCCATACCCGTCCTCGTGGGGAGGTTCAGACGGAGTTAAGTACAACACAAGCTCCCTACGGTGCTCCGATGAAGACAGTGCCCGAGCAGGAAGTCTTGATGCAGACCGTCCCAGCGAACCCTATCTTCAGATGGGAAGACAGAGGCCCAGAGAGACCCAGGGACTTGCACCTGCACTGACCAGCGGGAAGGATTGCTTCCAACACACGGGAACACCCCCTGCAGAATTTCCACGAGACAGGGGCAGGGTTTCCAGAGCCCGGAGAATAAAGGGATGTGCCTTCCCACCCAAAACCCCACGGTACGGAGGAGTGTGGGCATCACATCAGTGCATAGGCTGGCTGTGAGGGTGGACCCGGCACGTCAACGAAGGGTCCCTACCCTCCAGGAAGACCCCAGCAAGAAAGGCAGGAGGGGAGCCCTTCTCCCTGAGGCCCTGGCTGAGAAACTCGAAACGACACCTGCGCCCTGTTCTCCCGCCCAGACAGCTCCGGCGCCCGCGCACACCGTCGGAGGAGAGCCCTGGGTGCAGACACCGGCTGTCAGTAGCACAGCTGCCGACGTGCCTTCCCCGCCCCTGCAGAACGATGCACCACTGGGCCGCATCGGCAGCGGAGGGTGCCCTGGGGTCCAGCACACACCTGCTGTCGTGGACAAGTTATAACCTGAGAGGACGGGAGAGCCGTTGGCTGTCCGCCCATCTCTGAATCACACAGCCAAACATTCACGCCAGGTGCCACTGTCCCCTGCGGGTACCAGACCCAGCTCCTGCCCCTGGAGAAGAGAGGGACGCTGCCCGGGGCATTCCGAGGAAAACCGGAGGCCTCACGGAACAGGGTGCACCTGCCTGGGAGGAGGCCTCCCTGAGCCCTGGCCAGGAGCCGGCCACTCGGCACCCTGGCCTCAGCAGCCTCCGGAACCCCGGGAGAACAAACATCCGTTTTTAAGCAGCCCCGTCTGTGGGGTTTGTTATAGCAGCCCTAGAAGACCAGGACAATTTCTCTGCACCCCCAAGAGAAACGAGTTCAGAGAGGCCAAGTGACCCACCTTGAGTCACACAGCACTCGAGGGAAGACCGCCGTTCTGTGACCCCGAGCACAGACTCCACAGTCAGGCAGACAAGACCCTGGTCCCAGGGCAGAGTTGTGCAACCCTGGACACATCACCACCCACTCTGAGCCTCAGTGTCCTCGTCCATCGAGATGCATCACGGCAGTGGTCAGCACCTGTGTCGCTGA